TGTACTACACTGCAGCCTATATGTCGTAATATCTTAAAAAAAAATAACTGAAAAATAAGCACAGATTGTTCACAGCAGACAAGCGTAGGAAAACCAACAAAAGCTCCATTGTCTTTGGCTATATGTGAAATGATAGAGAATCTCTCTCCTTGTAATGAAGGTCCTTATCGTTGGTCCTTTATCACCGAAAGACATCAGCGTACCTCTCAGAAAACAAGAGTACATTTTGACATTTCTCGTGACTGAAGATTGATAGGGGAGGGGGGCGCTTCACACCTGGCGTTCGGCCTCAGGGAGGGGGCAGACTGGGCTCCCTAGATACGAGTCAATGGCAGATCTGTTGTTCCAGTACCATCATTGATGGTTATGTGGTATTTTGCACGGCTGTGTTCACTTTGAGTGCAGGGATGCTCTCTCGAAAAAGTGCACACTCGCATTATTGACAACTGTCGTATATATAATTGTTTGACACTTGACTACCTTTCGGGTGAAACGGCATTTTTCTAATGTAGCAACGAAATTGCAAATGCCATCTTACTCATAGGGTGATAAATGTTTATTGTTGATTTACTTAGGGATTACATATTGTACATATTGAACATAACCAGGATATATATTATCATAAATTTAAAAAAATGCATTTCAATCATCGTTTTTACTTTCAAAATAACAAAGATGTCCAACGTATTTTATCTTCCAGTGAGTTTCTTTTTGGTTCAAGAAACAATTTAAACAAACTTTTTGACCAAATGGCGGAACAGCTAAACAAGGTCGAGATCCCTGCGGTTCTGACAGGCGACACATGTCAATCAGAATCCGTTTTCCGTCAAGTTTGAATTTGTCGTCAGGACACGATTGGTTCCCGACTACAGTAATATGACGGAAATGACCGAACAGATTCTGGATTGGAATACATTCACGTGATAGAATTCAGGCTTTAATATTTACATTTGCTCTGCATATTCTCCCATTGTATTGTAATGAGAATGTCATACGTGTTGTGACACTATGACACCTACTGGTCAGGTGTCAACTGTTGTCACGTTACAGATCTGACTGTGACATTTGCTGGTTCGGGAATACCATAAACTGATTTTAGGAGAGGGAAATAATAAACTGACTAATTTAGATGTAAATATTATATAGGTTATTTAAACAATGTCAGGGTCCTATACCGGATATTTTTATTGCTGACAATTGACATTAAGCCTTACCGGGCTTTTTGTCAGGGATAGCAATGCATGTACAAATGTAAGACCACGAATCCCATTTACTAAAAAAATAATTGATTGAACAACTACAGTAAAAGTTGATAGTTTCAATTAAGAGCTGCATAACGGAAATCTAAGTACATAGCGACAATGTGAGTGCTAAGGTCCTCGTGTCGTATCTTAGGACTGATGAATTTGTCACGAGCTTCAAAGTGGATTCGTATCTTTGGGAATATTGGAGAATATATTTGTCTTCAGCACAATTTTATGATAATATGTCATGAATAAAAGAAAGGAGAGAGATCAGTTCCTCTTACAAATGTATGCTTGGATTGAATTTTCGGGAATTCCAAGGAAATTAGGACACTCTCTTACAACTCATACTATCAACGACCGACAATTGCACGAACAATTTGGAAAAAGTGAAAGTAAATTTCCGCAAGTTTTTCTTTGCCGTGAATTTGTGACGTCATATCTTTGGTTTTTGTGACGTCACCAATGGTGACGATACATATTTACATATTGAAAATGGACATGATGGTGTTATAGCGAGTATAAGATGGTGTTTTTTCACTATATAGTTGTTTGAGTATAAGATGGCGTTACTACAATACAGACCAACCTAAGTACTAGTAGATGATAGTGTTATAACACTGTTTATTATACCTTCTGTTAAAATCTCGTAATCTGATTGGTTGAGAAAGATGTGAACATTTTCAATGTTACTTGCTCGTTTTACAAAGATAAAGAAGACAGGGTGACATTCCAAAAAATATCACATGCGCCAAACGTATGCGTGCACGGTTCGTCCCAGTGCCAGGGTGTTATTCCAAAAATTGTTCCATGCGCCGAATGTATGCGCCCCTGGTTCATCCCAGTGAAAACTTTTCTGAAACGTTTGTCGACTTCTGTCGATGCGTTTGTTAAAGCGTCTTTTTAACTTTGATTGTTTATTTGTACCAGACGACAAAGGACGGGATGGCAACAGGAAGGTTTGCCGCTGTTAACGGGCAGGATCTGCAGAAATTACTCAACGACACCTAAACATGACAACCGGTATAATAAAATAAAAATCACATTCATGAGAGGGCGATATTGCATATATTTATATAATAACAGCCTGATTATATATACGATGGTGTTATAACACGGTATAACAGCCTGATTGTATATATATAATGGTGTTATTACATGGTATAACAGCCTGATCATATATATGATGGTGTTATAACACTGTATAACAGCCTGATCATATATATGATGGTGTTATTACATGGTATAACAGACTGATTATACATATGAAGGTGTTATAACACTGTATAATAGCCTGATTATATGTATGATGGTGTTATAACACGGTATAACAGTCTGATTATATATATGATGGTGTTATTACACGGTATAACAGCCTGATCATATATATGATGGTGTTATATTACACTGTATAACAACCTGATTATATATATATAATGGTGTTATAACACTGTATAACAGCCTGATTATATATAGCATGGTGTTATTACACGGTGTAACAGCCTGATTATATATATATATATTTGGTGTTATATTACATGGTATAACAGCCTGATTATATATATGATGGTGTTATATTACATGGTATAACAACCTGATTATATATATATAATGGTGTTATAACACTGTATAACAGCCTGATTATATATAGCATGGTGTTATTACACGGTGTAACAGCCTGATTATATATATATATATTTGGTGTTATATTATATGGTATAACAGCCTGATTATATATATGATGGTGTTACATGTATTACACTGTTTAACAGCCTGATTATATATATGATGGTGTTACATGTATTACACTGTTTAACAGCCTGATTATATATATGATGGTGTTATAACAATGTATAACAGCCTGATCATATATATGATGGTGTTATAACACTGTGTAACAGCCTGATCATATATATGATGGTGTTATAACACTGTGTAACAGCCTGATCATATATATGATGGTGTTATATTCCAGGGTACATGTATAACAGCCTTATTATATATATGATGGTGTTATTACACGGTATAACAGCCTGATTATATATAATGGTGTTATTACACGGTATAACAGCCTGATTATATATATAATGGTGTTATTACACGGTATAATAGCCTGATTATATATATGATGGTGTTATTACACGGTATAACAGCCTGATTATATATATGATGGTGTTATTACACGGTATAACAGCGTGATTATATATATGATGGTGTTATTACAAGGTATAATAGCCTGATTATATATATGATGGTGTTATTACACGGTATAACAGCCTGATTATATATATGATGGTGTTATTACACGGTATAACATCCTAATTATAAATATGATGGTGATATTACACGGTAGAATAGCCTGATTATATATATGATGGTGTTATATTACATGGTATAACAACCTGATTATATATATATAATGGTGTTATATTACATAGTATAACAGCCTGATTATATATATCATGGTGTTATATTACTTGGTATAACAGCCTGATTATATATATGATGGTGTTATAACACTGTATAACAGCCTGATTATATATATGATGGTGTTATTACACGGTATAACAGCCTGATTATATATATGATGGTGTTACATGTATTACACTGTTTAACAGCCTGATTATATATATGATGGTGTTATAACACGGTATAACAGCCTGATTATATATGATTGGGTTATAATACGGTATAACAGCCTGATTATATATATGATAGTGTTATTACACGGTGTAACAGCCTGATAATATATATGAAGGTGTTATAACACTGTATAACAGCCTGATTATATATATGATGGTGTAACGTATATTATACTGCTCTATGCTCTGAGTATAATTATGATAGTGTCATTATGATGAACCATGAAATTTTCACAGAGTAGATTGAAACTTCCGCGGTAGGAAGCCTCGTATTTTCTTTTCATTAAAATTATTTGAATTTGATAATCCATAAAACCCACATTCCACACAAAATATACATGATAAAAAACCTTACTCTAGATCTATCAATGCTGAAAATTATCTGCGTTATTTATTTACTTCGTATTAATAAGCGCACTTTGATAGTGTTGATCAGTGGTTACAAACTGAATAAGTGGACCCCGAAATATAGTTTTAGAAAATATTGATATCGGTTGTTATTTTCACACGTTCTTCGCAGGGTGTTTGACAACATCGGAATGTTGAGAAATCTGTAATATCCAGAAATTTCCTTAATGGTTATATCGAGATATACAGAGAACCATATAACTTGTTATCTACAACATAAGCTATATTTTCTTATTGACAGGAAGAAACCATATTAAGATAAGAAACCAATCACCAAACAGAAAAAAGGAAACATATCGACAATGACGTACTTTAAACGCGTGTTTTATCGTAAAACCTTTGACCCATTCTGTAAATAAATGAATGAACTACAGCCAAAATGTAGAACAACACTATAAACACTGGTGAATGTACCGGGAATTTTGGCAAAGAATGTATAAATATCAGTCTAAATAAAAAAATGAATCAGATACAGAAATAAAATCGAAGTGAAGTATTTGTAGCATTCTAACAACCATGATCTTTATATATGTCAAAAGAAGAATTGTATTCAGCGGCTTCAAATTAAAGGCCTTTAATACAGGGAAATACCTATGTTCTACAGATTTGTTTGTTGACGAAATGTTAGCAATTTCAAAAAAATACGCTTGCGGTATTAACATTTAGGGTATGCTCATCAAACGAAACAATTAATTGAAACACTTACCGGAATAATTCTTTGTAGTTTCTGAAATTTTCTGAGTTTTCTTTCACAAATGAAAAACCATATATCCCAAACACTTAGTTGAAAAAAAAACACAGGAGAGAAGAAAAAAGATCCGGTTGGTTTGCCGTGTGTACCACATGGTAACGTTTGATACCTGCCTCAGCCTCTGTAGCCGGGAGGTGAGAACTCTCTAATACTCGTCCAGGGGAGTCGAAGACGGAGGCGGTACTCACACATTCCGGAATTATTGTTATATCTTTTTAATTTCCTCACTAACGATAATTTGATCAGTCATTTAAGATAGCTTCGTAATTGATTCAATCAAACGGTGATAATGATACAGGTACAGTGGCGCGATCTGTTAACTAATCGCAAAAGTCAAGACAGCCTGGAATATAATTTTATTTTTGTTTTCCTGAGCATGTTCGGAAACTAGATAACAAAAGTTTATAATATCCCAAGAGAGCCTGGTAAAACATTGAAATTTCTTGTAAAAAAGGACTCATACTGCAGCAGTAGCAGCAGCAGCAGCAGAAAAAAAAAGAAGAAAAAAAAGACACTTTTTGATCTATTTGTAAAGATTCAAGCACGCCCTTTTAAAATAGTATATGGGTTTTGTTTTAACCATAATGTCAAGTAATTTATTTATTACCTAATTGATTGTGACGTTTCATTTTCTGTGGAACTCATATCTTGATTCTCTTCAAAAAATCAAAAAATTAAAAGCAATGTACAGTTGGTCACTGGCAGTGATTTGGGTTCGTACAGTAAGAATGCACTTTTGATCAAGAGCAACATAATTCTCCCCTCCAGGATTGATATGTTAAAGCTGTAGGGTAAAGGCTGTAGCTAAAACACTAATGTCAATATACCAGATCCACACAATCTCAGATTAAAAAACAGAACCGTCGGAATTAATTACCTTTTACAGATGCATCACGGTCACCAATGCGTTTAGACGCTGCGACCGCTTACTTTTTGCATCACAAGCGTTTAATTGACACGGACATTAATGGCAGCAGTAGTTACGCCAAAGATTCGCATCTGATACGATTTAATTCCACTTTTTTAAAATTCATTCTATGGGTATGCTTTTAGTTGGTAATGGAAATTGCAGATTTTTTTTTTATAATTTTTTTTCCTAAAAGACAGTGTAAGAATGGGCCGTTTGTGCGTTTATTACTGAACGAGATACTAGCCTTGCCATGTGCTTCCAATAACGGTGTCCGCCTGTAAGTATTGAATACACGCTGGGTTATGAATAAGGGGTTTACAAGCCCGGAACAAGAGGGGAGGCAAGTAATTTTACGTACGATGCTCTTGTGATGTAATGCAACGGAGCGTACAAACCAGATGATGAGCTTCGTTATAATTTACACACCCAATATGCAGCAGGCAGTGCTAAGGAAATGTTGACTTTAGATGAAGGGGATGCTGCCCTCTCTAATACTCCGGCGTATATATATATACAGACAGAGGGGTGTTTGTTGTGCTGACTCGGGAGGGGTCAAACCCTCCCATATACTCAAGATAACACGTAAGATAGTGTGTCATTTATCATCTATGAAGGAGTTAGTTTACTAACAGATCACAAAACAATTATGATGTGTGATCTATGGGAAAGGGAGACCCAACATACTGGTGTCCGCACAATACTCCCAATACATATCATTCGGAACACTTCGGCCAATTCGGTCATCTAACGATGGAAGTAACTGTAATCGGGGAGAGGTGTTCCGAATGAAGACATATATACCAAAACCCAATATTCCGAAGATCCGATAGTATGAAGTCCTGATATTCCGAAAAGGGAAAGATAGAGTCATTTCGGAACAAATATTCATTATGATTTTGTACACGTCCGAAGGATATTCCGAAGGTAGTTGTACAATTATCTTTCTACAATGTTAAAACATCAGAATACTTTAATGTTTCGGTGATAAGCTAAAAGGAACTTTGAACAATATGACACTTTTAAGCATTCCTATGTTTTAACTTCCTGAGATAATGGACTCGTTGGAATATTGAGCCTTCCAAATAATGGACAATTGGGCTTCATAAACACATGACAATCTTAAGAATATTCGGAATATCCAAGATAAGTACCAACATTGGAGTCCTGTATATTATCTTTTGGTAAGATTCAATTCAATACATCTCTGGGAGGGGCAAAATCATCCCTGAGCGTAGTTAGTGTACTGTAGGAGGGAGATACTCAACTTCAAGGTAAAGCATGATTATTCACGGGATTTATCTATGAAAAGATTTAGAATCATCACATTTGATTCTGAGGAAATTATAGAAGGAAATCTATTTTATTTACAGGAGAATTACAATCGTTTTCTTATATCCATTAAACAAATTAAAACATTACTATATCGGAAGAGTTTGAATTCTTTCACATACAACGTACAGGTGAAGAGGTGTGTATCATAAATGGGAAGGTACATGTAGAAACCTCTAAGATACGTAATGCACACAAAATGTTTTCATCTTCAAACTATCGACGTTCCTTTACTAAGAGAAACCCCTGCAGGTTCAGGGAAATAATACAGAAGGTCTGATGTACCATACTGCATGATCGTACGAGGCGACTTTCATGTATGTGCCCTCTGTCGTCTGTTTAGTAGAGAATATTGAAGAAACCAAAAAAAAGAGCTGCCGTATCCCATTGCATGGGTACGTAAAAGGCGGCTTTTAGTTTAAACATATTTATTGCCAAAATTAGACAAGGTATTAGGCACAAGTTATAACAACTTATCAACGCCTTCTCCCAATATACATTTTTAATGACTTTACAATAATGACAATAAATTTATACAATTGTTGTTACAATTTGAACTCAAAAAAGGCGGCGAATGTCCGGCCCCCTGCAAAATCGGGTTTTTTCTTCCGTGTTTGCTAAGACGGTGATATGGAAGAGACCAAAATTGATCCGCTACATTTAAGATATTTTTCGTTTCCTGTTCTTCTTGTCTGTCTTATTTTTTTCCTACTTTTATCTACTCTCTCTTTTTGAAACATAACAAACGTCAATAAAAATGATGCTGTTGATATTTCTTTTATATCTGTCCCCTGATTTACATTGTAGCTGTATAGTATAGGAGAGACAAAGATCGTGCTGCTGTCCCCAGTGCTACATATATAATATTTTAAACTGTCTTTATCCATAAAAATAATGCGTTTTAGGTGGTGGCCGGTAGACCGTTTATGTGAGCACTATTCAGTACCGTTAGCGATACTTACAGGGATTAGTAGCAGTACGGGGGAGGGGTTAACTGTAATTGGTCTACTTGATATAGAATATAACAAAGAGTTACCTACCATCTTACTCACCTTAGAATCGACCAAAAATAATTATTTTTTAATATTTTACTTTACCATTACATGTAAAACAAAAAAAATTAAATGTAATTTTTCTTAACGTGCTTAAATTGATTAATAGGAAGAACATTGTTGAAATATGATAATTAATGTTATAAAATCTGTACACCTGCCTAGATCGATTGTATTTGGTATAGAAACTAGTTTTCCCTAGTGTTACGGTTTTTGGGTCAAACACAGTAATGCCCAACAATGGGCTGATGTGTAATCAAAGCTCCGCTAACCCCTAATTATATATGCATAACTGGCCTTTATGTTTGTTTTCGTGAATCGACTGTAGATTGTTACGTGTACGAACACTACACTTTCATCTTCATGTACGATTTCACTGTCATCTCCGGTCGGAGATAGCTACCTAGGCAGTTGTATTCTGATATCGGAGGTAGATGTACCTACTAGTAGGTCTCCTCTGATTGGATACTCCTTGCTCAAGGCAGTTGGTTTCTGATTGGAGATATCAAGGAGACAGGGAGTGTGACAAAAGAGGTATGGAAAGAGGAAGATAAAGAGTGTGTGAGAGTGTGTGAGAGAGAGAGGGAGAGAGAGAGAGAGAGAGAGAGAGAGAGAGAGAGAGAGAGAGAGAGAGAGAGAGAGAGAGAGGGGTGG